ATTGTGAATTATCAGTACACATGAAATAGAAATCTCAGTGCATTACTCAGAGTATCACAGAAATTTAGAGCTACAAAGTGGTATCTAGATACCTAGTTCAATGATTTTCAAGTCGAAGTGCACATCAAAATCACAAGACATTATAAATTATCTAGACGCCTGAACTCACCATCTGAATCAGAATTGTAAGCACGTGTATTTTCAAAAGCAACTCCTTGTTTCGAAACAATGAGTTCAGCTCCTACACTTTATGGAAGAAACTAATAAACAAATTAAAAAGTTTAATAATAGGGACTTGCTTATGCATATTTTGGCACTAAAATAAAATGGAAAGGTATGTAGTCTTTAATGTAATAAAATACAGCAATATATAGTAAACCTGTGTGAAGACTATAAAAATTTTTCATTTTATGATTCCAATAAATTGACTAGTTGTCAATCATAGAACAAATTCATGTCAAAGCTAGGCCATCTTCAAATGTTGTCTCTGCTCATTTAAGAATTCTGTCACATTATTATGTATCTGAGAAAATAATGAAAAGTAAATATGCTTTGTCTCTTTTTTTAAAACTACAAAAACTGACTTTTTCCTTTTTCTATGCAGGCATTTTTAGATTGCTCTTTCTGTTTTGAGGATCATGGAACTCTGAAGATCTGTGTCAGATTCTCTGTGTTAATTTCCATCAAATGTGAATTAAACAAATCTTTATGGAGGGGAAGGGTATAAAAGAAATGAAGGCTTTAGTAAGTGGACAGAGAGCAGTTGGATTGATTCCACACTGATGCGGAGTTTGTATTCCTGGAGAGAGAACAGAACCTAGAGGTTTCTGTGGTTCCAAACCTGATATGCTGATGTGACAACTAGGACCTGACAGCTGAATAACTAAGCATCATACCCTTGAAGGCAAGGGTACACAGAAGGTCCTGGGAGCCACATTTGGTATGCAAGGATTGAAATTATATCACAGGATAATGTATTTTTGAAAGGAGCCTGGAGATACCATACAGGTATTTTAGTAGTAGCCAAAATGAACTGTAGCAAGGGCTATTCCCTATTAATTCTGTATTGATTCACCCCCATTGTTTAATCCCAAGGGAAGGAAATGGGCAACTCTCAAATCACTGATATGGATTTTCAACCATATGGTGGGTGAAGGTAAAGGTAGTTTTAATTTTTTTTTTAGAACACATATAAATTCAGTTTGTTTTCTGCATCTGAACAGTTAGGGGAAAAGTTAAACCTGTAGTATACATATATGTATGATATATAGATTGCATACTTGTTTTTTCCACTTTAGTTCTACTGCACTATTTTTGTGTCTCCTGCTGTTATCAAAATTAAGCATTCATTATTCATGTAAGATACAGAGGAAAACAAAAGTAAAATGAGAGGGAAAATACTAATTTGATCATATATATTTAAATGACCAAAGAAATATTTTCAAATACACCTAACAAAGTTATACCAGGGAATGTGTCTTACTATACACATTCTTAACATTTGTATTTTATTACATGCTAGGCATTCCAAAGATTATTTTTTTCCTCCTATTGTTTTCTCAGATTTACTGAACCATAAAGAAAAGAAGAGAAAAAAGCTGGTTCATTGTTACAAAGCACTTCCTACTGTGGATTTGAAGTCTTCTTATTTTCTGCTTTTCATCTAAATTCAACATCATGATGCTGCAATATAACCAAAAGAAAATGCTGTAAATATGAAAATGTTAATTTAAAGCTATACACACACCAGGTTCAAAGAATATGCAAGGCACATGTCAGCGGGATTGCCTGGGTTGATGTGGGCAATCCAACCCATATAACAAGCAGGCCAATGGCTCTTTAGGCAAATGCAAATGCCATAAATCAAATCATCTGCCTGTTATTTAAGATTATTAAATATTCTGCCAAAAAATCCTACTTTGTGCCTTTCTAATTTTCTCTTCCACTACAAAGCCTTCAGCATTTTGTGGTTTTTCATCTACCAACGAGTTAGTAAAAGCAAGTAAATATGAAACGCAAAGAATTATATATGATGCCTATTTCAGGATTTATTTTTAAAACTATGAATTTTTAGCTTTTTGTATGACTTAATATCTTTGTACTATTTTATTATAGAATGCACTGTTTTCCAATAATATACTATTTACTCACACAAAAAGGCAATATTTAACAAGACATTTGTACAATGAAGTGCTAACTCAAAATAACTGCTCAACCTTATATATTCCATAGAAACGACTGGCCTTTTACTGGCTCCTAGGAGATAACCTCTGAGCTTGGAATATCCTAACAGATAATAATGTCTTTGACACCTGAGACCTTACGCTGTGCCAAATAGTTTATGCTCATTACATGTGATTTATGCTCGCAGCCTTTTTTATATGCCTGGGGCTTTGGGCCATGCTGCATCAGCTTGGCCACTGCAGGAGCCAGAGACTGATTAGCTAAGGTCAGTTACACAGGTGCTTCATGTCATCATGGCTGACCTACAATGAAAACTGTAGACAACAAGGCTTATGTGAACTTCCTTGGTTGGTTACACCTTATATACATTGCCCTACATTGTTTCCAAGAAAATATTTTAAGTACTTTTTATGCAACTCCAGTGGGAGAATCCACCTGGAAGACTGTACCTGGTTTCTCTTAGACTTTATCTTATGTGTCTTTCCCTTTGCTAACTTTAATCTGTAACTTTTATTGTAATAAATCCTCACCAAAAGTAAAACAGTTTTTCTGAGTTCTTCCTATACATTATCAAATCTGAGGGTAGTCTTGAGGCCCCAGACACAGTATCTGAAAACTGTGTAATACTTTGAAACTTGTTTAATATTTCAAGCAATCTGCGGTCTCCATAAAACCTTCTCTTGGAAGAATATCACCAGTACAGTGACATTTCTGTTCTCAAAGTTGATATATAACTTAGAGTTAGGAGTTAGATAACTTCAATAGATAACTTCAATATGTAAAAATGTATTTAAACCAGTTAATAAAATGAGAACTTTATCACTTTTTCAACTTTGCTTCTTTCTGCTTTTTTCCCCCATATTCTAACAATTTCTAGAAGTCGAAATCAAGATATTAAACTGATACTAAAGTTAGTTGGAATGGCTTCTTAGTAGCAATTTATAAAATAGACAAATGAGAAAATAATATACTTGGAAGTTCTATTATTTGGCATAACACAGCATCTAAAATTGTACTCCTTGACTTGTCAAATGACTGACTCAGTGTCCCACAGAATATCTGTGGCAGTGTCAGGTCTGGAAGTGGAATATTATGATTACAGGTATGGGGTTCTTTCTTCTGTAATAAACTCATATTATTGCTGAAGTTACTGCTGAAATCCCAGCCTAAAATAAAGCTTAATTACATTATGGATGTGTACATTAGATGATTTACCTGCAAGTAAAAGGAGCTCTGACTTAAGCAATGTTAAACAAGAGGCCATAAATGATCACATGTATTAGGCTCAGAGGTTGGGCAAGCACCTGAGAGGTTCAGTCAAGAGTTCAACAACTGACCAAAGACCATATTTCTTCTATCTGGAAGCTCTGGCTGTTTTCAGGGAATTCATTAGTAATAGACTAACAGTTTATTATATTATTATTTAAACAGTTAATAGTGATAGTCTAACAGACTACACCCCCCATCTTGCTTTAGGGCCTCAAAATGGTAACAGCAACTACGTAAATCCAGATATTAAAAGGTATGGGAGAGGTCACACTTATCTCTTCCTCACATTCTAACAGCACGTAAAGAAACCTTTCTTCAGAAAGAGTGTCTCCCTTGCCTCAGAGACCATCATAGTGTCACATGCCCACTTCTAAAGGAATCCCCAAAAGTAGGATGAGATTAACATGACTGACTTAGATAAACTATCTGACATGGACCAAGACAAAGCATCTAGACAACCACAAATAACTAAAAATTGGCTAGATAACCTCAGGAGCAACTCTGTTTCTGGTCATGGATATGTAAATATGAGTTACAATTATTTCTTTGGTGTCTACAGTTCTTGTGAGAAAAACTAGTTTGCCATAAATGTTCCTTTCATTGTAAAAACAACGTCAGTGCAGACAGTCAGAATATGTGGTGGCTGTTTGTTTTCTAACTTCAAGTATAGTCCTCTTGCAAATATCAATTAGGTAATAAACTATAAGCCTGTATTATTATTGTAGCATTGACTTGTGTTGTCTGTCATTTATTTTCTAAAGCCAGTCAGTGAGTGAGTCCACCTTAGGTAGGTATTTTTATGCCAGGCTTTCTGAGAAATGAGGAGCCAGAGGGTATCCCAAATCAATTGCCTATAGTGTCACAGATCGTTTAAGGCACAATGGCACGTGCCTGTGACAAAGACGATGACAAATGAATATGTACTGAAAGGACAACACCAACAGACAGGTGAAGGAAACTGGAAATATGTAATATGAGATGGAGTTCAGAGTAAAATTTAAGATAATGATAATGAAATATACATGTGAATGTAATGCCACGAGTTGGATAAAAATAGGACATATGTGGATGTAATGCCACGAGTGGGATAAAAATGGGACATACATGGATGTAATGCCACGAGTGGGATAAAAATAGGACATACGTGGATGTAGTGCCACGAGTGGGATAAAAATGGGACACGCGTGGATGTAGTGCCACGAGTGGGATAAAAATGGGACACGCGTGGATGTAATGCCACGAGTGGGATAAAAATGGGACACGCGTGGACGTAATGCCACGAGTGGGATAAAAATGGGACATACGTGGATGTAATGCCACGAGTGGGATAAAAATAGGATATACGTGGATGTAATGCCACAAGTTAGATAAAAATAGGTGGCTGTAAGACTCGCAAGTTCCTTAAGTTTGTTTTCTAACCTTGCGAAGTAAGCATATGTAATACATATACTAACCTATCATACAGACAAAACTTCACTCTATTTGTAGGTAGGGGTTAAATTATATTAGTCCACATTGAAGTATATAAAAGACCAGTGGATACTAACAAGACGCAGTTCTTTGCAGGTAGAATTGTGCTCACAGGCATTCAGGGTGCAGTCACCAATGTCCTGTTCACATCTTACTCCAGCACAGAGTGGACTGTATAAGCAGGAAAAGCCATCAACCACTGCAAACAACAGAAAAGAGAAAACTCTTAACATTTCTTTAACCTCAGTACACGTAATTAGCCTAAAATTCTATAATCTATGCATCTCACTTTTAACCATAGAAAGTGTGATTATATGTAATAATATATTACGCAACCTTCTACAATATTTTTCAAAATAAGCATCTTATTCAGTTCTATTTAACTTTAAAAATAACTTCAATTATTTGAAATAAGGACAATTACAATGGGCATTTCAGTTTCCAAAGCAACAATGAAAGCATCCATTTTTTGTTGTTGTTGTTCTCTGTTTTTGGTGGTACACAGTATATATGATAAAAAGGTTACTATTGTATCATTTAATTCTCCCAGGTTGTTTTAGTTTTAATAAACAAGACCTTCACTGTTCAGTTGTTAAAGTTCTATATATGACAGAATATATTAAAGCGCATTGTGATCTCAAAGTTGATAGTGAGCTACTTACTTAAGCCTTAGTTAAAAAGAGCTTTCACATTTCATCAAAATCTTTTTAAAATCATGATCAAAATTGGTTCTTCATTTTGCCATTAATGACGAAAAAGAATGGGTCTGAAGTATCTCAAGGAAACGGTGACAGTATGAATTGCAGTTGGAGCAGGCACCAATTTATAACTACCTGTCGGCAGTCCCTGAGTTCTTCATTATCCCTGAGATTTACCATGTAATCTATACTGCCATTATGCCTCTGTGCATGTACCTGCTATTACTCTCATTAAATGCTTAGGTCTTCAGTGGCAACAGCATTTTTAATGCACTGTAAGAAATTTATCTAGCTTCTAGATTTCTGCAGCCATGTTTTGTAAAACATGTGTAACTAGGGCCTCTAAGGAGAATGAGGCAGTCATACACATCAACAAGAGATAAGTAAAATACACAAGAATATGCAGCTCCTGAGACAGGATTTGACTTCTGTTTTACCTTTTTTTTTTTAATCTAGAACTTAGTTTTTAACCTCTCACTGAATTCAAATTAATAAACAAATGCAACTGTAAATGAATTAATGTGATAAAATGGTGTCAGTCTGTCCTTCATTCTGTGTTACACATGGTATTTTGTATTTTAACCACATATCATACAATATATAATTAAGACATTGTGGAGTGTCATCAATCATAGCAATATTTAAAATTTCACTTATGATAATTATCTAAGTTTGGATACTGATGTATACTGACAAGTAACAAGCAACTGGAGTCAAATTAACTTTCAGCATTGATGTTACCTGTCCTATGCGGACAAATTATAAATTACATTAAAAACAAATGACAACAAAAGGTAACTTCGAACTAACAAAGTGTCTGGAAACAGATTGTAAAAAAATAAAGTATGCTTTTATTGTCAAGAAATATGTTTCTAACATAGACTAATGTAGACAAGGAATGTTTTTCCAATACTTTATTCTGGAATAAAAATCTAATAAATGGACTATGTGCCAGAAGAGAACCTAGAGGACTAAATTGGATACCAAAGGGAAATTGAATACTGCAAAGAAAAAAAAATTATATATTTAAAACAAAGTAACAAAAAGTAGATGGTTTTTCTCATATCTAATTTAACTATGGGGCTATGTGATAAGCAATAACCATTCCATTGGAAAGACATTTAATACAGTCTTCCTCTTGATTGCTGCTGTTGTTTTTTAACAGAAAATCTAGTCACTGTGAAATGAAGCATTGGGAAGGGAAGAGCATGATCCCTTTAAATGATACAGAAGGGGGAAGGGAAGTGTTTAAATGATAACAGAAGGAGGAAGGGTAGAAGAGGGCGTGGTCCCAGCTAGGGCTCCACCCCAAGCACCTAGGTGAGGACAGGCAATCCTGCCTTCCTGCCCCTGAAGGTTCCATTTCTCAAGACCACTCTGGCCTGCCCTGTACCCATCCTGTGCCTATAAAACCCCAAGACTCTAGCAGGCAGACACACAAGTGGCTGGATATCTTTAGGAACAAGACAGGGGCAGCTGGACCGCACATCAGCAAAGAAACTCACAGATGGCTGGATGTTTAGAGGAACACACCGATACGCCCCTGCATGCTGGCAGGCCACCGAGCAGCAGAAGGATGTGGAGTTTTGCCAGGGGAGTCGGAGGAGAGCCCAAGCCGCTGAGCAGCCCGGCTCCAAGGGAAAACCATCTCCCTTCTGGCTCCCATGGCTGAGAGCTACTTCCACTCAGTACAACCTTGCACTCATTCTCCAAGCCCAGGTGTGATCCGATTCTTCCGGTACACCAAGGCAAGAACCCGGGATATGGAAAGCCTTCTGTCCTTGTGACAAGGCGGAGGGTCTAATCGAGCTGGTTAACACAAGCCGCCTAAAGATGGCAAAACCAAACCAACAAAACCGAAGTAGCATCCTGCAACACACGCCCACTGTGGCTTCGGGAAGTGTAAACTTTAACCCCTACAAACTGCCTTGGAGTGGGAGCCCCCCATCCTGCCCATCTATATGCTCCCCTAAAGGTATGAGCAATGGGGCACTGAAGAAGCGAGCCACTCCCCCTGTCACATGCACTGCAATGGAGACAAAGGAACCTTTCCTATTTCGGCTGTATTGGCATTCGTCTGTGTTTCTAAATATTTCACACTATTTTGAAGTCAAATTTTCTTAAAATAGGCCTTCTATGAATCTGGATGTATTATTCATTTCACCCTTAAGTATGTACCAGACCTCATATATACTGGTTGTACTGAATGAAAGTTTGAGATATGATCAAACTTTTTGGTGAAATGTATAGAGGTGTTTTCAAACTGTAACAATAGGCTGGGCGTGGTAGCTCACCCCTGTAATTCCAACAGTTTGGGAGGCTGAGGTGGGCAGATCATTTGACATCAGGAGTTCGAGACTAGCCTGACCAACATGGTGAAACCCCATCCTTACCAAAAATATTAAAAAAAAAAGCCAGACATGGTGGCACATAACTATAGTAGCAGCTACTCGGGAGGCTGAGGGAGGAGAATTGCTTGAACCCAGGAGACAGAGGTTGCAATGACCCGAGATTGCACCACTGCACTCCAGCCTGAGAGACAAGGTGAGACTCCATCTCAAAAACAAAACAAAACAAAACAAAAAACTGTAACAAGAAAATTGTGAACAACCATACAATGATGTTTAAGATTTACAGACTCACACACACACAAACACATATATATAGTGATTTCTCATATATAGTCCTGTAATATATACTATTGAAATGGCAGAGTTCCCCGATACCCCTTACAGGACATGTGACAGAGGTGTGTGGCTGGCTTATACAGTTGCTGGAGCCGCTAAAACCCCTTGCAGGAGGGGGAGCATGCAGATACGCAGGTGCAGAGGCCAGGGTGAGTGCTTTGGGTTCTGGACCTGTGGTAGTGTCTAGGGGTAGGTTTCTGAAACCCCAGCGTTACAATGCTCAGATGGCTTCAAGGATTAACCAGCTCAATTGACCCTCTTTCTGTATCATCAGCTCTTTCCCAGCATCTGGGAAGATTCACATGAATGAGAGGTCTTTGTGAGTGGCAGAGGTGGCTCAGAGCAGGATAGATGGGAAGGTGAAATTTGGAGATGGAGAGGGAAGGTAATCTTCCCCTGGAGTTGGGATAGACAGTGGCCAAACTCCTCTCTGACCACTCCCAGCTGAACTCCTCTTAGTAGTCAGATGTTTCTCCCTCTTCTTTCTCTGCCGTGTTGTTCTGCGGTTTGTCTACTTGACTTATCTCCTCATCTTCTGGTTTGCTCTGGAACCTGGGGTTCAGGGTTTATATGGGTATGGAATAGGGAGAATGGCAGGCCAAAAAACAACTTTTTGGGCACAAAAATAGGAATTCCTGTTCTCATTTACAGCCACAGGTATCCAGGCTTGAGGATGCGGACTTTGCCAGGAAACTACCTTCTTCTACCCATTGCTTCCCCATCTTCTGTCCATATCACGATAAACCAGAATTCAGGAAGTTTAGCTTCCCAAACTATTTTATTTTAGAGAAAGTGTTAAGAATCTAATGTCTTAGTTTCATTCTGATAACATTCTACATGTGTGATCTAAATTTTAATAAATATTTTCATTCCCTGGTAGCTGAATATAATTGTGTCAGCTCCAAAATATATTATGAATAATTATATCATAAAATACATTAATATATTATTCAAATTTACAATTTCCATATTATGGTATCCAAATTTTAACAGGTAGTATGGCATTATAAATAACTTGTTTAGAAATTGCATTTTCTTATGTTAGAATAAATTATACATTAAAATGTTTTCAAAGAACTTCTAAAAATCAAATATAATATGCTGTTAGTCAATGTAAATAATTTAAATTAAAGCTGTCTATATGTAATCATTATTTTAGGACTGCCTAGGTATTTAAAAAGCAAAAAATCTCTAACTTCTCTCTCAGCCATGTGATACGTAAAAAAGCTATGAATCTTTTTTAAGTATCATTCCTCACCAGACACACAGAGCTCTGAAATGAAACAATACTAATATTTCAAGGTAATTGGAGAAATTCAGAAATTTTAAAAAAACAATATTTGAACTGCCAAAGTCTGGAACAAAAATAATAGCAATGGTGACTTATATCAAGAGTAGGAAAAAGATGGCACAGAGTCCACAGACCTGTTTTTGCTTAGCTGGCACAATGTTAGAAAATTAACATTATATTAGTATCTATACAGATATTTCAGTTTGCTAAGGCCCCACTACTACCCGTTGTTTTATATCTGGGTTGCTTCACCCAACTTACAACATTCAATTGCCTTAATATTGACTTGTATTTGCAGAGCACTGGTTTTAAGAAACTTTTTTTTTTTTTTGAGGAGAGGAAACATCATATTCAGAAAATACAAAGTGAGGAAAAGAGAAAAAGCAGGAACTGGAAAGTATACAACTTAGATGTGAGACCCCTGATTTCTAAGACATCCTAATATTTCTCTTTTATGATCTATTTGATTTCAGCCTCTATTTGTGTTCTTTTCAAGTCAAGTGAGCAAGTATCTGTGGAGTTT